GGTTCTAATGAAGCACTGGTCCCTCGTGCTAGATTTGGTAGCCAAAGCATGTCTCATTTTTGCTCTTCTGTTCTTTTCCACTCTACCTCCCCCCAGCGCTACCCTGGTTGTTATTTTATTCTGAATTTCTACCCCATGTCACCTCTCTAAAGGGCTGGACAGGCTCTTCTGAGGTTTCAAAGACACTTCATGCTGCTTGTCACTACTCCAGTTGCTGACTAGATGTTACTGTGCAGAATAATAACACTTTGCATGTACAGAGGGCCTTTTGGGCACAGTTTTGAGTGGAGCTGGAACATAAATCCCATGAATTCCCCGCCGTGTGCGGTGGAGGCAAGCGGGATTAGTTCTCTTCCTTTTTCGGCAGGCTCTGGACACATCAAATGGAGCTGTCTACAAAGGGAAACGAAGAGGATTATGAGATCTTTATCGGGATCTTTTTACAAGGCTGATGTGTGAAAGCAAGAGCGTGGTGTGAAGGAACATCTGCCACATCGTTAACACATAGAAGATGGAAAGAAGGCCTAAAAGGCGAGCGTGGGAGTATTTGGGGTGAAGAAGTTGTTCAAAAAAGACCTAAAAAGACACAGAAGGGAAATCTTTTCCCTTGATATTAGTGCTGATAATGAAAACAGGTAATGAAGTGAGAGCATGGAATGAGATGGGATATATCTCATACCAACATCGACAGGCTCATGGTTAAGGTCATTTCCCACCAGTTAATGGAGACCTCCTGCCCCAAGCCAGGCATGAACCATGGTTAAGGTCATTTCCCACCAGTTAATGGAGTCCTCCACTGACCTCCTGCCCCAAGCCAGGCATGAACCGCTGGCTGTCAGTGCTGCTGCCAATGGGAAATATTTTTCTGCAGTACTCTGATTCCATCTTTCTGAATCATTTTTTGAACGTTTCAAGCCCATTTTGTTCCAGATGTTAATGGAGTCCTCCACTGACCTCCTGCCCCAAGCCAGGCATGAACCGCTGGCTGTCAGTGCTGCTGCCAATGGGAAATATTTTTCTGCAATACTCTGATTCCAACTTTCTGAATCATTTTTTGAATGTTTCAACCCCATTTTGTTCCAGAACCACTCAGGTACTGCCATATCCCACGCAGGGCTGCATCTCCAGCCGCAGCAGCCATCCGCCCGCTGGGCATTTCACAAACGCTCCCAGAGTAAAATGAATGAAGGACCATCCATTTATTCTTCTGAATAAATTCTGCTGAGTTTAAAACGAGAGCACAACAAACACTCCCAGAGCTATTTACAGTGCTTTTCCTCAGAGTTTGTGAAAACGAGAGCAAAGGCTGGTGCGGGGAAAAAAAAATATCTGACCTGAAACCACCATTAACTAGAGATAAAAATGAAATGGGGATCCAGCCTCTTGCAAGGGTGTGGATTATACCAAATGTCATTATAACTTTTTATTATGGGAATTATAGCTTATACTATTATGAGGATAGCAGAAATGTAATATGGCAGGCAAATACAAAAATCCTTTTAATTCTGTACTGTTGATCATTTCTCCTAAAACTATTACTGGAGAGATGGAAAGGTGTTTTTTCTTTAAAAGCTCTCCTTCTGGCCTTCCTGTGCAACTCACAGAACAAAGTCAAAAATATTTATGCTCTTAATGATTCAGTAATTTCAGCCTTCAGATTTGTTTATACAGGAAAAGCTTTTTAAATAATAGATGTTTATTATTGCTGAAGATTTCTTCATTTTGGCTTAGGGTATGTCTTGAGATTCCTCCCTTTTAGTGGAGCAGCTGTTATTTCTGCTTATTGCTTGCTCTGAAATGTGTATAGAAGTGTCTATTTGTGTAAGTGCAATTTTCCCCGTGATTGATTTTAGAGTATTTGTATGAATGTGCAGAGAGTCCACTGCCCATGGATTTCATTTCAAACTAAACATCCGCCTGAAAGCAGAGGTTAAAACAAGTGCAAACCAAAGCCACGGCCATTCACAAATAAGTTGGTCACAGTCTGATAGCCCTAGTATATTTGAATATTTCTTTGCAACAGTTGAACCGGTCTCAAACAGATTCCCCAGAAGCTAATTGAAGGCTTAGGAGGGACAGAGAGTCCTGCTGGAGAGGAATAATGAATAGGGATGCAGTGGAGAAGAACGAGGAGGCAGCAGGACTGGGAAGGAGGGATGGGGAGGAAGGAAGCCAGCAGTGGTGGAGAAAAACAGGGAATTTGCCTGCAGGGTTTGTGGGAGATGGTTTTCCATGTAAGCTCTCTGATCCCAAATGGTTCTTGCCTGTCTTCCTGCACACTGTTCTGAGTGCTTTCCAGTCCTGCCTTTGCCTTGCTCTGTGCACCTCGGCACAAGCAACCCAGACTTTTTGGGGCAGGAAAATCAGCATGTGACTCAGAGGGCCCAGGACACGTGCCAGCACCGGGTGCAGGATGGCAGCAGGGCTGCCCCAGCCCGGACTCCTCTCAGCTCTGTCCCTCCTCAGCTGCTGCTCTCTCAGTCTCCAGGAAAATACCGCGCTGGGAAAAATCTCTGCCAAGTTGATTTCCAAAGTTTTTGAGTTCAACACTGAGTGCTTTCCAGTCCTGCCTTTGCCTTGCTCTGTGCACCTCGGCACAAGCAACCCAGACTTTTTGGGGCAGGAAAATCAGCATGTGACTCAGAGGGCCCAGGACACGTGCCAGCACCGGGTGCAGGATGGCAGCAGGGCTGCCCCAGCCCGGACTCCTCTCAGCTCTGTCCCTCCTCAGCTGCTGCTCTCTCAGTCTCCAGGAAAATACCGCGCTGGGGCGCTTTTCTTTTTAGTTGATTTCCAAAGTTTTTGAGTTCAACAAACTTCTGCTGACGATGGTGCAGGGTTTGGTGTCTCGAGGACATCAACCCTCATTTTGGCAGGTCGTAACTCCAACATGGTGATCCTGGTGAGCTCATCCTAGGACAGGCAGCTTCTGGGGGAAGATGCTCTTCCCAGGATCTGGGGTTTCCTGTTCCTTGGAGGTGTCCAGGACAGAAGCTCACAAGTCTATAAACCAGCTGTGTGAATGAGAGGAACCTTGCAAAAGCCTAGCACGGGGGAGACAAGGCAGGAGCCTATGTCCAGGTGTTTGGCCCTGACACCCCTTGGGAGCTTCACTCTTCTTTTTTTGCAGAGAAATTGCAACCTGCTGCTGCTTTCGGAGGACTCAGCAGTTGGCAATGCCTTTGCTGGGATCTCCCTCCTCTTTTCATTTCACTTTTTAGGAGCTTTAAGCCTTTCCCTTTAAGCAATAAATTATGACAGCCAGTGGAGGAGTGAATTTTAAGGCTCGTTCCCTTCTGGGGCCAAGGGGTCTAGCTCTGACCTGGAAAAATGCACATCCATCAGATCAGGCTTCACAGCCCTAAATCTTTCCCAGAGGCAGGGAATCGGGTCACCCCTTTCTGGGGAGAGCGTAGATCACTCCTCCCTTTTAAAGAGAGCACTGGGGGTACTCATAAAATATCTCCATTTTGGAGAGGTGCAGCTGAGAAAGCCTTGGGTTAGGCAGTACCTAAGAGGGTTCAAAACCTCACCTTTTCCTCAGGAAGACCTGAAACCTCTATTTCTTGTCTTTTAGGCTGGAGTCGTGAGCCTTTGCAGGTAAGACTTCAAGATTTACCTCCTTAGATGGGAGCATCAATGAGGCGCTCTCCAGGGAGAGGAAACCTGACTGAGGAATGGTTTTGTGTATTTTATCCAAGAAGCGTTAATGCTGTTTACACGAATCAGATTTATTTACTGG